CTTGGAGCTAAGACAAGGAAGTGGCTGTGAGAACAGCAGGCTCCACACTGGGGCTCCCTCCCAGGGCTCCTGGGGACTCAGAAGCCCAAGCACCCTGCCTTCAGCAGGTCTCAGGGGGAGCCTGACTCAGGGTACAAACTCTCAGGGGCTGGCACTGGGGATCCCCATGTTTGTTGCCTTCACAGTCTACCCCAGCTCACCTTTCCAATTCACTTAGGCGCTTCACATTATTGAACCATGACATGAAGTTCATGTCAGGAACCACCTGGAGCTCCTGACATGCGCCCTGCAGTTCCTTCATGAGTGCAATCACTTTGTATTCCTGGTTGAGAGAGAGGACAGAAGGGTGATGGGCCTGGAAGAGTGCAGGGTAGGCCAGGCAGTAGACTTTGGGTCTCTCCATGGTCTCACTCCTGTCTCTCTCTCACACACTCTGCTCATGTCTCTACTGAGATCAGGTGCCCACTCCCAGGAAGCTATTCTAGATCCCTGGCTCAGGGCCCCATCTCCCGTCTTCTGGACCCAATGTGGCCATCTTCAGAGGCAAGGGACCTGCACAGATGGCCACCTGCAGTGGAAGGTGCCATTTTCTCACCTCTCGTAGTCTTTTCATATTCAGCCAAGAACCTTGCAAGGCAAAGAATCAATGTGCTAAGAAAATACTGCTTGAACCCCAAAGGCTGCCTTACCACTTGGTGCCCCACCAAGTCTGTCCAGCAGAGGGCAGGCTGAGTGCACAGCTGGACTAGGATTGCTCTCAGTCTAGGGCAGGGATGCCAGGGGCCTGAGGACAGGTTGCTCACTGCTCAACTCTCTGTGGACATGGCAGAGACTGAGGCTTCAGTGACAAGGCCATGCTATTCCCACATGCTATGTCAGCTTGAGCACCTGCTGTCACACTGCCACCCTCACTGACCTCCCTCTGAGACATGGCCAAATGTCATCAGCAGCACTGAGGTCTGGGGGCATGGGGCATCAGAAGTAGCATTGCTGTGGGACTCTGGGGCTGGGGAGGACACGGGCTCTTGCTGGAGGTCAAGGGGCAGCAAGAGGCTCTTTGTCCCCACTCTGCTTTCCCAGAGCTGGGGCCCTGTTCACTCACATCCTTGGAATCTTGGTCTTTGTGCAGTGAGGCCAGGTGAGTGAGGATGGTGCCCAGGTAAGGGACTGTGCCCTCGGGATAGTCCTGTGGCATTGGGTGGAGAAAGATCAGAAGGGTCCTGTTAAGCTCCTCCTAAGAACCCCAGACTTACCCCAGCCCCATGGAGCCATCTGCCTAGCAGAACTTGGAGAAGACAGGTTCACTCCTCAAT